CTTCTTATAACGTATAGTAACAGTCGACGCAAAACCCACCAAATCGCTCAAATTCGTCATGGCAGCCACAGAAACGACAATACACAGCAAGTGAGGTAGGTTTACATTTATTTTGAGCTTTAACTCAGACATTTCATGATATAAGTTTACGATAATAAGACTCTTCAATATTCTCCCATACATTCCTTTATATTTCGAATAATCAACCAGACTCGTCGCTTGTCTGGGTCCCCTGTGGTTGTATAAACCAGTGCGATTATTGAACAGGAAACGTGATATTATTTAGAATGCTTGAGACAACTGCTGAGACACTAACTTTCCTGACCTCGCTGATCACGTAGCGATCTGAATATAAACCTGTCCAAGCAGGAATTGACAACAGATTCTTCAGTTGGGACTGAATTATTGAATTAATGGTCATGGTTGGTCAAAAGCAAACTTTGCCCTCCTTTCCTTCCATCATTTCAGTTTTGTCGATTGCATTTTACTGTGTCGGGTTTCTTAAAGTTGAAATGGAGTTAAACCAGCACAAGAGCAGATTAAATGATCTTGAAATGAAATCAGAGAGCAAGCCGCAGTCGAACGACCGCGCAGACATCGCAGTGATCCAAAATTCTCTTGGTGAGTTTTATCAATAACAAAATGTATTATCACAGTACGTTCACACTCTGTCTTCGAAGTGATAGAATTACTTTAATACAACTCATTTATAGAGCGCATATACGAAGGCTCTATGCACTTTACATTGTAGTACACGGAAATAAATAAAATGACTTAGAAAAGAAATAGTTTAGTCGCTAAAAAAATGGCGAAAGAAATGTCTTAATTTTGGACTTTAACGTTTCCAAATTGTGACAAGATGTTATGTCATTGGACAGATAGTTCCAGAGTTCTCGAGCAGAGGCAGCGAAAGCGCTCGCGCCGTAAGTCATCAAGTTACTGATAATTTGGACGAGATAAGCGTTGAGAGGATGACGATCGAGGTTAACGCATGGGACCTGTGACGATGACGAACGAGTAGATCTTGAAAATAAGACGGCGTAAGATTATGAAGAGACTTAAAATAAAAGTAAACCAGTAAGGAACCCATGCATAAACAATTCTTCGTAAAGGAAACGCGACAGAGCTTTAGCCAAATCGAAGGTTTCGAGGTCAAGCTATTTTGATCACAAACATAAATAGAAATTATTGAAAGAATTTAGTAAAAGGTCGCAGTCTAGAAGTCAAAATATGAGGGGAATCCTAACAAATTAAGGAAAACAGAGATAGCCAAGTAATAAAAGTTTTTAAACAAATCCCAGAATAATTGAGTCTTTTGAACGCGTTTTTATAAGGCTTAATATGAGCTGAAGGAAGGATATCAAATGTCTTCAGATCACAAGTATTCGATTCAGCTTTGCACGAAAAATTGCAAAGCATATTCTACCTCACATATAGAGAAATGGAGTCTGGGCTCACTTCTTCCCGTTTGCTGAAAGGCTGGCAGGTCAAGTTATTTTCGGCAACATGCAGAAAACTTCTTCTGAGAAATATTTATTTAGTTCAGTATGGTCTAGATGTCACTTTAAAATTTTTTATTCTAAACAAATATATCGCAACGCGAAAATGTTCATACAACTGCCTTACCCGGTGAATGTGTTTAAGGAAAACTTGTTTTTTGAAAAAAAGGGAAAGTAGTTTGAGATAGAAACTCAGTTTCTTAAATTTTGTCCGTAAGAGTTTCCGTTCCTCATTAGAAAACAACCTAAAAAAGCTGTTTACATATTAAGGGCTGGCAGAAAACGTTTATCAAAATAATTGTTTGTAAAAATTCTGCAAAATTCCTCTGATGATGCATGGAAATATGACGTTTCAGTGATATATCTTTGACGGACAACTTTTTCTCTATTGTGCACATACCGATATGATACAAATGTGTAATTAGAGATCGTATTGTCTTTCTCGTAGACGTGCAATCCCTCAAATTCAACAGAAACAAGCGAAATGTCAATAACACAAAAGAACGTTTTCACAAAGAGGTAACAATGGCCAAAATAACCAAATTTTTACTGCAACTCTGTCACTCAAAAGATTCCACGTGAACGTCGGGTCCACCAGGCCCTCCTGGTCCACCTGGACTCAAAGGAAATAGAGGGCGACGGGGACAGAAAGGAAAGACTGGAAATAAAGGTGATAGGGGAATTATGGGATCACCAGGAAAGAGAGGAAAGCAAGGCAGCCAAGGACCCTTAGGCTTAAAGGGAGAGACTGGAACCAAAGGACAGAAAGGAGAAAGAGGAAGGACAGGCATGCCGGGAATTAAAGGAGAACCCGGTCAATCCATTTTATCTCCTACTGTAGTTGTTTCACCTGCGACTTTGACAGTTAACGAAGGTCGATCAGCCTCGTTTCATTGCTCAGCTAGTGGCAATCCCAAGCCTGCCTTAGTATGGAGTAAAGTGGACAATCAGTCAAAAATTACTCAATCAGCGGGTTCAGAAGGAAGGTTGCTCTTGAGGCACGTGACGGGAAATGACTCAGGATTGTATCAGTGCTCAGCAACAAATATCCTGGGAGGGGATAAGGCAACAGTGCAGTTAGAAGTCAACGGTAAGTCTTACTTTTAAGATATTTTTGCAAGCACGTCAAATCTCATATTTTCTGAGGAAAACAGCTCTATGAATTCTTTATCATCAAAGTTTAGGGACTGGTCATTTTTTATCGGGAGGGGGAACTGGTGCAATGTAAAATATGCCATGCTTGATTTTTGCTGACCCGCCCTTTTACTTTAACATGATTTTTGCTGACCCCCCCCTCCCATCCTCCCTTGTCCTCGGGCATGCATGAAACAAAAAGTATCTATTTATCAAGTCACCATGTCGAACTGATAGACATTCTATTTAAAGATACCTTAAATTTGGATTTGAGTTGCTCTTCGCCCAGACCGTGTGTAGACAAGTGTCGTATTGACATTAAGTTCTCGGTGTCCTCAATCATTTCTTCTTCCTTAGTCGACTCCTCTTCCTCTTCAGAGCTTGAAATACCAATCTCTGCAAGGACACAGTCTTCTTCCTCTGAGTCGTCTTCTGACTCACTACTGAGTGGATCAGAAGACGACTGATTGTCGCTATTCCAATCCTCCTCTCCCTCAATGCGTTTAGCAAGTTCTTGGATGATACTTTCCTTAATTGCTTCCAGCTTAACCTTTTTTGTTCCATATTTTCCAAGATTATGGTGGTTACGTATAAAGCTATTTTAAAAGGCGGTATTTGTTGATGGCATCCAGATGCAGCTTTTAACATTTTTCCTGGCAAACCGTTTGCATATTTTTGAATGGCACCCCCTTTAAGCCATGCATAAAAAATAGTGCCCCCCTATTTGCACCAGCCCCCCTTCCCGATAAATAATGACCAGTCCCTTAGTTGCTCCAACAGTTTCTCTTCAGCGGAATTAACCCAAGAAACAGGATGAAAGAGGCCTGTTTCTATAAATCTAATTATCCATCATTATATAACTTTGCACAAATTTTTTTTTTCTGCGCTTCCGCAAAAGTTTCCCAGTTTGACACCATTTCTTCTCCTTTTTAGCTGATTGCCCATAAGACTGTCTCTTTCGGATTGAACGTTTTCTGTATGTTCCACCACTGATTTCTCGGGAACATCAGTTACTCCATCACCTTTGATTTTCTGGCGACCGCCACGAATTGGAAAATTTTAAAAAAAAACTAATAATATTTACTTTCCCATAGTTCGTCCACGTGTTAACCTATATCCTGGACCTCTCCAGGCCATTGAGGGAAGTGACGTTACCTTACCAACTTGTCATGTGACTGGCCACCCACGTCCTACAGTCACCTGGAGCAAGTCATTTGGTCACCTGCCTCATAGAAGGGTTCAGTTTAACAGCAGTGTTATCAAAATTCTTGACGTTCGTAAGAGTGATTCTGACAATTACCTCTGCTCAGCCAGAAATCTTTTGGGAAGTGTTGTAAAAAGAACTCTCTTGGTTGTTGTCTCCTTACCCCGGTTCACTGTAAAACCACCTTCGACGGTGGTTGCTGGTGTCGGTGACACTTTGACGTTAAGTTGCAGCGCTACCGGTGATCCACAGCCAGTCATCAGCTGGAAAAGACAAGGTGCTCAGCTACCCGTGGGAAGGAGTCACATGACAAACCAGGCGCTTACCTTAAGAAATGTCACTATTGAAGATCCTGGTAACTATATCTGCGTGGCCACAATTGCAAAGGTGTTTCCTATTGAGACGATAATTAATGTTCGAGTTGTATCACGATCAAGAGGTAGGCTACGAGTGGACCTTTTAACTTCTTTTCCCGACAAGCAGAAAGGGACTGAAGTTTGTTTCTTTAACGAAAGTGTGGGACACTACCTAGGATAAGAGAAATGAAATTACTATTAATAGAAAAACTACAGGCAAAAAAAAATGTTACGCTATCAAATGTTCTCTTAGCTGTGACCTACATCACGCTAAGCGAAAGGCAACAAAGAATCTCGAACTGTCTTTTTCTGCTTTATTTAAGAACTCGGATCTCCAGTAATCCTACTCATACAGAATTTTACTTAAATCTGTGTAACTCTGGTTAATCTCAGGTTCTCACACTGATTCTCCCTGGCTTATGCTGCTTAACACTCACTCCTAAAACGGAATTTTGTCTCTACTTCTGTACACTTTCTACATTCTTCTCCAATAATTTAACCTTAAATAACATGCTTATATCCACTATTGACGGATATGGGTGCGCATCCAAGCTGGCTGACGTTGGGAGATTAAACATCAGTTTGTTGTTAGAACGCTAACCAAGAACAATTTCACGAGACTTTCGACAGTACTTAATGCTTCCGATTAGCTGAGTCAACCTCTGACTGCGTAAGCCAAAACAAGAACTTTTGTGTGGATTCAAGGCTAGGTCAGTTGACAAAGTGAGCCGCACTTCCACTTGGATGTCAGACAAGACAGTCACAACTTGAATTCGGAAACTCATCATGACACCTTAAACCTAAATGACTTCGGACTTTGAATTCATGTAGGAAATAACATTCTAAACGAATGACTAATTAATACTGAACAGACTTACTCACTGAACTAGCTACAGTCCGAGTTTTCAAGGTTCTCACGCTTACTCAGATTCTAAGCTTACATACGTAATAAAAATCAATCACAGCTAACACGCGTATAGTATATAAAAATTCGTGTTCAAAACCAAAAAAGCGCAAAACAGGAATGATGAGATATAATTCCAAACTGGCATAACTGTTGAACTTCGTACAAATCATGACGGTGTCAGAGCGACTGCGATCATGCTAAGGTCCACCTTGGCTAGCTCATCATGGCGATCTCCGGTCATCGCCGTAAAGCCAATCTCAAAAATTACATCGACCACCCTTCCAGTGAACAACTAAAAGTTTGCTCCGATATCCTTTCCGATGCGTTAATTATAAGGCCACTTCAGTCACAGCAGCCGAGTTTTATGGCGCTGTCACTCCGCGCAATCTCCGGGTTCCTGTGAATTCGGCTGTCGTTCATTCATAAAACACACGCCCTGAGCAGTTTTTTTTTTTTTTTTTTAAAAAAACTTTTGTGTTTTTATGAGTAACA